TCCTCGAGTTATGAACTGACCCCGAAAAAACTTTGGCGGGCCCGTACGCGGGTACCACGCGGGTTTGGCACCCATTTTGGGATTGGAAGCGGTATGCGCATGTAGATGAAGTTCCCGAAATTTCAGCCCCGCAGCTTTTATAGGTCCTGAGATGAAAGCGCGTGACGGACGAACACACAGACGCATAGACACACGGACATATAGACAACCCCTCGTCAATATGCGTTTTTCGCATTGCATTGCTGCAAAAAACGCATAAAAAACGTGCACACCTTCCCTGAATAGAGGCACTTCGGTATCTTTGAACAACGACTTTGCACGTGTGTAATCGTTCAAGATCGTTGAATATTCACCCTGCAACAAATGTGAAAATTTGCAAGTGTTTCTTGAAAACGTTTCCAAAAAAAGAAAAGCCTTTAAAAATTCCATTTTTGGGGAGCGCATGCTGATAATCATCAAAATACGATAGAAAATGAACCCCCAGCCCAACCTGACGTGAAGCGCATGCTTTTGAATCAGGATAAAGCTATCGGGCTTCTAGAACCAGAACGATAATACCTCCAAATTTAGGCTGCATCGCTAAATCGCACAAACACATGAACGCAGAGGTAAGCGGACAATACTGAATTTTTTGCTTGAAATTAATTGTTGTAACCTTGGCTAAATTCTGGTCAATGGCGCTGGACAAGAAAAATATGAAGCGAAATCGCGTGAGCACAGACAGAGCATTTCTGGTGGCATCAGCTCGATCTTTTCGTGCCAGCACTTCGTGAAACACTGCATTGGCCGTAGTGTGCGATTCCTCAAGCTGCAAAAACCAAAAGAAGATATGAATCAAAACAACGGACTTCAAACAACGTATGCCAACAAAAAGAGCGTGGAAAAAAAGCTATTTTGCTGGGTGATGAATAAGAAAGATCCGTATAGATTAATCAATCGGAATGGGTTACTTATCGAAACAAAATCTCCCTCCGTATTCACTTCTAAAACGAGAAGCAGCTCGGGCGGCATGAATTATTAACAGCATGCAGTTTTGAGCGGAAATAAGCTGATCACATTGGGAAAAAAATCATAAAAAATTATATTTAGATAAATCTGAACAGCAAGAAGCATATTCAGTTAGGCTTGTGGGTGCGCTCTGAAAGTTGTTAGAGATTTTTACTTTTTTTAAAAAATTACCCAGGACAAGTGGACCTGCAGTAGATGCACCAATTGTATTATCAACCTCTAACAATGCCAGATATAAGTATATAACTCTGTACTAAAGCCAAACTGTTGACTGTGTTGTAGAAATTTTAAAGATACAAACAGTGAATAAATATTCCTGACAAGGAGACTGGAACAGAACGGGGGCCTGAAATCTTCTATGTCTTAACATATGCAGTTTGTTTGGCGTCATTAGCCTATCGTTGAGAGGAACACAATCGAATTCCGACAATTAACGAAAAACTGGAAGTGGCATTTCGATCTCCCAAACAAGCAAGCCTGTGTGTGCAGTAATTTGGTAGCCAGTCTGAGTTTCATCCCTGAGCTGTAAACACAGACGACAGAATCGGTGTAGAATGGGGTGTGGATCCCAGAATCGATCCGA